GGCGGGGCAGGCCGGGGCAGTCCGCGCGGCGGGAAAGCCCGCGCACGCGCGCCAGAGCTGCCGGGAGCGCGCGAGGCCGCGCACGCGCGAGGAGTCCACACGGGGCGCGCGGAGACCATACGGGGCGCCGGAAGGGCCACAAGACTCTCCAAGGGCGGCGCGTGCGCGCAGAACCCGGACGGGAAGCGAGAAGGGCCGCGCGGCCGCCGCGTGCGCACGGGACAGGCCTCGTTGGCACCGGAAGCGGGCAGGGCTCCCCCGGACCCCCCGCCGCCTCGCGCCCCTGGCAGCCCCCTCCAGGGCCGCACCCGCGCCCCAAGCCGGGGGGAATGGAGGGAACCGGGCGGCGCCCCGGGGCCCGGGGTGGAGGCGGAGCGGCGCGCCAGGACCGTCGCCCCGAGCAGGCCGGGGCGGCGACGAGAAAGAGACTGGAGCGCGAGAAAGACAGGGGGTAGAGCGAACAAGTACTACTCACCCGTCCATTGCACACACAGGAGACCCGCGGGGGACGGAGTGGAGGCACCGGAATAGCAGGAACCGACCCAACGGCTCTGAGTTATAGACTCACAAAATGGCGGAGACGCCCGAACACGTCCCCCGCGCGCTCTGCCCATTGGCTCCTGCCGCGCAGATGGGCGGGGCGAGCGCCGCGGGCCCCCGCCAGCGCCTCCCAATGGCTAGGAAGTCGCTCGAGGGGTGGGGCCACAAACAGTGGCAGGCGGCCATTGGGGAACATGGCCGTCCGTCAGGGCTCGAGGCGGAAACGGCCCGGGGAGTCGGGGAAGGGGCGAAGAGGTGAGGCCACGTGATTGCGCCAGAGCCAGTGAGCAAGCTGCCCTCCTGCGTGGGGCTTTGCTGGAGAAGCCATCTTAGGAGTGGGTACGTGGCGGGTCAGGCGGTGGGAAGCGTGCTTCCCCCAGGCTGCCGCCATCTTGCAAACGGGCAGAGTCCACCTCCACCTCGGGCGTGAGAGCAAAGGGAGGCGCGTCGCCATCTTGAAGTAGGGCAGGAAACCTCCAGGGCGCCACCTTGCTTGTGGGCACCTGGCTGAAGTCCGTTTCGAACTTAGACGTTACCCTTAGGTTCGCACGCGAAGTGGCGGCGGCCTAACGCGTCCCAGAGGCGCCGGGGCTGTTTCCACTGCTGGCCACCAAGCCTGTGGCACGATGTGGCCACGGGTCGCCCCTGACTGTCCTTTGTTTGCCCCAGAGCAGCGAAGCCCGACCACGGTCTCTTCGCCTGACTGCAGGAATGGGAAAATTGAAGCCCTGGGGGCACGGCGGACGCCGCCCTGCCTGCCTGCAATGGAGGGAAAATGAGGCCGGGGGCGCACGGACAACACCGCCGTGCCTGCGTGCAATGGCGGGGAACTGAGGCCCGGGGCGCACAGAGCAGACCGCCGTCAAAGGACGTTCAGGACTGGACGGGCCTCCATCCCAGCAGCAGAACACTCCAAACTTATCTCGGAGAATGCTGATTCCAAAAAGAGTTGAACAGGGTTGTGGGTGCTAGGGGAACCCCGGGAAAGGTGCCGGAAAACAGGGCCAGCTGGGTGGGGCGAGTGGGAGGAGGAGCAGGCGGAGTCAGGGAGGCCGCGGCAGTGCGGTACCCCAGGCTTTTGGAAGCATCCAGGACATGATGGGCATGCTGGGCTTGCTTGTTCCCAGCGTGGAGCAGACGTTCAATAAATAGAAGAAATTATCCTGAATATTGTTTGCTATACGTCTCGTGAAGAAAAAAGGATTTTTAATTGGCACAAGCCTAAAGAGGGAGAATGACACTTGTTGTTTCCCTAAGTCGAGGTCAGGCCTTGGCTCCCGCATCTCCGGTCGGTTTTAGCTTGGGCGGAGTCATGGCAACAGCGTCCATTTTAGGGCCGCGCGGGCCTGGACGGAGCCCAGAGACCGGGGCTCCTGAGCCAGAGGGCTTTCTCGGATTAGGGGCGGCTGCCGATCTTCACGGAGGCCTCCGCCCTGCAGTCCTTGGCCCCTTCTTTCGTCGAAGGCCATCTGAAGCCCAGGAATGGCTAATCAGGAGGGTCCCGGTGGATTTAGGAGAATCCCCAACGCATTCCCGTGGATTTGCTCCCTCCAGGACTCCTGTCGCGCTCCGCTCTGGGTAGTTGCTCACCAGGGGCACTTGCTCATCTTTGTTGCCTCGGTTACTGGTGCCAGGGATGGGCCCCCCTGACAGCAGGGAGGATGGTTGGAGACATGGGAGTGTCGCAGCCCAGAGGGAGAATGTTGGTGGACTCTCCACCAGGTTCCTATCACGGATCTAAATGGTCGCAATCTATTAAAAGCCATTTCTGCTCCTTTCTGGTTTCTGACCGCATTTACACAGGCCTCCTTTACGAGGCTGTTCCCTTCTGGAAGGTTCCTCCCTAAACCCACTCCCTCCTTTTACTCCCTGCCCTGGGGCCTTCGCGCAGAGGCCCCCTCATCAGAACAGTCTCCCCACGGTTGAGGATTTCTTTCTCGCCTTCCACTGGAACACGAGGGAGAGAAGACAGCCCCTGCCCGGATCAGAATCTACGCTGTTACCACCCTTACAAGGGCCACAAACCAGGCGGCGTGAAACAACACAGATTTACTCTCGCTCGGTTCTGGAGGCCGAGAAGTCAGAAATTGAGGTGTCAACAAGGCCGAGCTCCCTCCAGAGGCTCCAGGGGAGGGTCCTTCCTGCCTCTTCCGGCTCTGGGGGCCCAGGTGTCCTTGGCTTGTAGACAGGTCCCTCCAGTCCCTGCCTCTGTTGTCACTTGGTTCTCTTCTCCCTGTTTCTCTGTCTCTCCTGTTTGTGTCTCTAAAAAGGACGCTTGCCCTTGGATTTAGAGACCACCGGGATAATCTCATCTCAAGGCCCTTAATCTCACCTGCAAACACCCTTTTCCCAAACAAAGTCATGCTCACAGGTTAGGGGATTAAGATGCAGACACACCGTTTGGGGAGTTGTTCGTCAGCCCAGGACCCCACCTGGACTCTGGACCAGCCATGAAAGACTGCTGGCAGGCCTTCCATGTCTGCGGGGGTGGGGGGTGGGTCCAGGGAGCCCCCAGGCCCTGCATCTCAGTTGGATGGATGCCCTGGTTTATTGGAGCAACCCGGCTCCCCTGTCTGTCTGGTCCCTGCTCAACCCTTCTGCCCGCCGGCCAGCTGGCTCCCTCATCAATGATTTAGGGTGAACGTGGGTGTGTGATCCCCTTGCAATTGAGAATTTTGAAAAGGATATCTTCTGTGGCAGGGGCAAGGGAGGTGGGTGGCAGCCAGATGGGGGTGGAGGGCCAGCATCCCAGGCCCTGGCGGGGGCGGGTGGGGGAAAAGGCTGCTGGGTTTTATTTCTCTTTACAGATCTGATGGGGCTGCCTCAGTTTACCCCTTTGTCAAAATAAGGGGTAGGGTTAGTCCAGTGCCCCCTTCCTTCCCACGGGCTTTCACTAGTGTTTCAAATGGAAATGGCTTAATAGTTTCGGAATATTTGTTCCCTGTGTTTGTTTATTCATTGCCTTGATTACAACAGCCATAGGGCCTGGGTCCAGGGTGGGTGGGGGCCTGGGTTCCACATCTCCCCTCCCCTCAGAGGCCTCCTAGGCTCTTTGACCCATTTTCCAGATTTCTGTGGGACTGAGCTGGGGGTAGGGGGTGCTGAAGAGCCTACCCCGCAACCCCTCCAAGCTGGAGCCCCCCACCCCAGTCCCCAGCTGAGGGACAGAACAAAACGGTTGGCTCGGGCCTGGGAATATTCACGTCGGAATCTGTCTCCCGCCCAGTGACGGGGTCCTTGGGCAACAGCTGACTCCCCAGCCCCAGGCCCTCAGGCCAAGATGCAAACCTTATCTGCCCAAACCAGCAAGCCAGCCTCTCCCCGAAGGACCCACTGTGTCCCCAGGCCCTGCCCGGAGAGGGAGCTGTCTCTCTGCCCTAAGCACCTCCACACACACCGCCCTGTCCACACCCTTGGGAGCTCAGCCTGGGCTGGGTACCTCCCTCCAGGCGCCTGTTTTAAGTCTTGGATCCTCTGAGTAGGAAATGCTATGTCTCCTTTTCCCAAGCCCAGAGAGGCTGGGTGAGCTGCCTGGGCCTCCCAGCCAGGAAGAGGCCCCCCTGTGGTTTACCCAGGCTGCTCCGCCTTTACGGGAGCACCAAGGAGGGTGAGCAACAGTGTGGCCGGTCCTCAAATGGTCAATGTAGAGTTACCACCTGACCCAGCAATTCTCCTTGGTATCTGCCTAGCAGAAATGAAAACACATGTCCACACAAAACCTGAACATGCACGTCCACAGCGGCACGATTCACAACAGCCCAAAAGTGGAAACAACCCAGGTGACCATCGACAGATGAAGGATAAACACCACGTGTCCCTCCACACATGGAAAAGTCACTGAGCCACGCAAAGGGGCGAAACACTGACGCTCGCTGCAACGTGGACGGACCCTGAGAACACGAAGCTCAGTGAGAGAAGCCAGACACAGAAGGACACACAGTGCGTGATTCCACGGACGGGAAACGTCCAGAACAGGCAGATCCACAGGGACAGAGAGTGGATTCCTGGTTGTCAGGGGCTGGGAAGTGGTTGCCAACGGCTGGCGTTTCTTCCCCCATGATGAAATGTTCTAAAATTGATCGTGATGATGGTTGCAACACTCTGTGAATAAACTGGAAAACCACTGAATTGTGCGCTTTAAAAATGGATGGGCAGTGTGGTTATGTGAATTATATCTAATAAAGCTGTTTTTAAGAAGTCATTAAGGATGAAGACCGGAAATGCCAGCTTTGGCAAGGATGGGGCAGGGGGAACTCTAAACGCCGCTGGGGAGGGGGAGGCAGTGCAGCTGCTTTGCAAAACAGCTTGACGGTTTCTTGAAAAGTTGCCTGTATGACTCCCCTAAGGCCAGGCACTCACGCTCCTGCCTGTTTACACAAGAGAAACGTGTAGAAACAGTCCACGAAAGCCTGGACAAGAATCTCCATAGCAGCTTTTAAAAAAAGTACGGAACAGACAAACACTGGAAAGAACGGAAGTGAGCAGTGCGCAAAGGATGGAGACGCGCTGTGTGGAGGGTCTCCGGCACAGGGGAATCCACGCGGCAATGGAGAAGCACAGAGACCAGCCGGGTACACCTCTGTGCCAAGTACACAAATGTAGTCCAACAGCAGGCAAAATGCACCGACAGTGCCAGAAATTGGGAGAGGGCGCTCTTGGGGGTCAGTGGCTGAGAAGGGCAGGTGGGGGGACCTGGGGACTCACGGGAGTTCAGTTCACAAAATGCTTTGTGATTGGGGTGCTTTCCTGCATGTAAATTGCAGCTCAGTAGAAAGTCTGCTTAGAAAATCCTGTTGATTCTCATCATTCTCACACTCAGGGTCTGTGAAGTCAGAGCAAACACTGGGTTGGGGAGCATGGAACCCCGGCTCCTGGGGAAAATGCGGGTGAGAGTCCTGCCAGCCTTTGGTCACAACAGTGTCACCAACCCGTCACACGTATCTTGTGTCCCGCGAGTTTCTGTTTGCAGACT